GCCTGATGCAAACTCCACCAGTATAACGTGAACTGTGCATTAAATTGTGAGTGCAAGCAGGAGCAGAAGTTTTTAACTTTAACTCTTACCGGTTTTCTTTCATTGCCAAAGGTTTTGTCTGGGATTTTTATGCTGTTGCTTTCCCAATGAGGAGCAGCTGAAGGTTCCTCATTTCCTTGGGTGTGTTGTTCTTCCACAGATCCCCCTGAGGATGCACAGGCTGTGTAATTTACTGGCTCAGAAATGTCAGGAAGGTGGTGCCTGTAGGTATGGTTTTACAGATAAGAGTCATGTCATGTCCCAAGTCAGGCAGAACAAGTCACTGAACTTGGGTCTTGTACATCCCTGGTCCTGCTGGCTCTTGAAGCATGACAGACTAGAGCTTCAAGGTACTGTAAGAGATCAATTTGTTCAGAAAAATGCAATTCAGACCCTAAAGGCTTCACTATTAGTATTTAGCAAATACAATTAAATAAACATTAAGCTAAGAAAACTAATATTCATATCAATAGGTACTCATTAAAATGGCATTTATCCCCAGAATAATTATACAACAGTTTCCTTTTCCTCTAAGTATGCACAGGGCCAGACATCTTGCAGTGAGGCAGTATCAAAAATAACTAGGTCATTAAAAGTAAAAAGCTTCTCTTTCCTTGCTGTTTTTGTGCCCATGGTTTGACTTCTCCTAATGCATACTTCACAGCTATCTTTACAGAGTTTTGTCTTGTACATTTCAAATTCTCATTTTAATTTGTTAAGAACATGTTGAATTCTGTTCTCCACAGAGTCTGACATCTCTCCTGCACTGAGGTGATTTGCAAGCTCTTCACTAGTGGATCACTGAAGTTATTAATAAGCAAAACTTTGTCTAAGACAAATCCCTAGGGCTTCTGCTGCAACTGTTCTCGGTATCTCTCACACTGAACTAACATCTGCATGTTGTGTATATTTAAGCTGCGTGATTTCATTTAGATTACAGTTTTATATGTAAACTTCTGTTAAGAAGAAGAGGAGGGAAGTCTAGAGTGAATGATTCTGTCACCTGCCCCTTTCTTGTTCTTCATCTCTGAAGCAGTGAAAACCCAGTGCAGTCTCCATGAGCTGTGGAGAGTCAGGGCCGTGAAGCACCTGTGTTTCTCCCTGTGTGCAGTGGGCATGAGGGATGAAAGTCTGTGCAACGCAGGGTACATCGGTCCTCTTTCCTTAGTTGGTATATAGAAATGTCATATCAGATGTGCTGCTGTTACAGGGTTGTGGAAAAATGTGTTTTTATGACAGCGGCTAATCAGTGTTTCTTACCAATCTGAAGTTTTAGTTCAAGAGAAGTTTTTAGAACTTCTAAGCCCTGCTGTTTGTTTTTCCTGGGCAAGAACAACAACTGACATGTTTCTTTTTGACCCACATGTATGCAGCAAAGGAGCATTTATGGAAAGGAATCTTCACATTCTTTAAAGCATGTTCTTATTTGATGTAACTAAAGGAGATTGTTATTAGGCATTGGAATTATATGGCAGCCCAGGGAAGCGATTGAGTCACCATCCCTGGAGGTCTTTAAAAGGCGTTTAGATGTAGAGCTCAGTGATATGGTTTAGTGGAGGACTGGTTAGTGTTAGGACAGAGGTTGGACTAGGTGATCTTGAAGGTCTCTTCCAACCTAGACGATTCTGTGATTCTGTGAAAATGTAGGTGGCTAAACGTTATATTGTACATAGGCTGGGACAGGAGTTGTATCTTTGATGGAGTGCAATAGAACAATAGGGCACTAAACTGATTTGGGTAATCAACTCTCCAGTACCTAATACTCACTGAGCAGGCTTCATCTCCTCTCTCCCTGGTGCACAAATTCCATGGTGAATTTGATACAATTACATTTGTGCTCAGGCCAGTGGGCTTAAGATTCAGGCCTCAAGTTGAGGGCTAATTGTCCATGCAATGAGAGTAATGGCTTTGTACCTGGGCCCTGTGCAAACATTCAGGCTAAATGAAGTGAGGTACCTCCCCAGGCTGTGTGGCTCTGGCTACTTGCTTTGACTCCCACTCTAAGTCAGGCATAATTAAAATGCCTGCATATTTATATGTGGTCCTGTATAATTCATCCATTTTCTCATATGAACCCACCCCCTGCCCCCGACCTGGGGTTAGTTTTTCTGTTCTCTTTTTCATGGTCCAATAGCCACTAAATCTGTTTGGATTCTCCCCTACCCTTGCCAGTCTTTACAAAGGCATTATGTTGCCAGTCACTGCTGAGCTGCTGTGCTTCCTCACGGAGGTTTGTTAGGTTGTATTAGTACAGATTAAGATCTGCACTATCCCCTCTCCTCCCAGTACCGGTTCTTTGTTTGCTAACTGTGAGGTCAATAAAATTCTGTTTTCTGTCAAATAACAACCTGTTTTCTTATGAGAGTAGTAGAAATCTCTGGTTCACCAGCCTGCCATGTGGATACAGCTGCAGGGAATGTTCATGAGATATACTAAAGGATGTAAGAAGATTTTATAGCCATGATATTTTATTCCCACAGCCATAGCTGGTTTTGCTTTTTTTTGTCCTATCTCGATACTTTTATGTTAGTGAAATTAGGGAGGCCTGGAGGTCAGATATGCTGAGAGAAGGAAGGAAGGACTCTGAGCAATTATCTAGACATCAAATTAATTTTACTTTTTTTTTTTTTTTATAAAATAATTCCAATGGATTTAGCTTTTTCTCCTGTTTTTTAATATTATCAGCTTGATCATTTATTATCAACTTGACCATTTAGTGAATACTGAATAAGAAAAAATAACGATAAAGAGCTGATTACTGACTCAGCTCTTTCTAGTAAAGAGTTGTTCAAAAACAAGGATCTAACCATTTGAATTTGAAATAACACTTACCTGCAGTGTAGTTACGCATATTCATCTGAAAAAAAAAAAAAAAAGAAAAATAAATGAGCACTTCCAAATGTATTGCAGACTTCTAATGATTTGAATGCTGTGAAAATCCTATGATCCTTTCTAACAATTCTTCATACTTTTCAGCACTTGAACAAACCCTGTCATTCTTTCTTCTTTTCCAATTCCAAATACCAACTTCATGTTAATGCATTTGAAGCTAGAATACCAATAATAATGACTCTTACATGAATGGCAGAAGTGGCTGGCACACCAGGTCCTAAATCCTGGAGAGGCAGAGATGCTAGAGCCAGGCATTGGAACTGTCCTTTTGGTACAGGCAATATTTGGTCATGGACATGGGGCAATGCCAGCTTCTTCTTCTTTCAAGGAGACAGAAATTAGATGATCTGTTAGCCCTTATACATTTCCAGCCTTGCAGGTATTTTTATTTTCTTGGTTTGCCTCTATTTCTACCACTACATGGGATGGGTTCACTTTGATAGGAGGTCAAGAACAGCCACATAGCCATCATTATGGGCAAGATTGTTCTTCACTAAATAATTCCAACATTTTCTTTATAGTGTTTGAATTTTATTGGTTTCCTAATTGTTCTGTCAGCTTTATAGGTCAGTGTATGTATGCTGGCTGTGACCCTGTTTCCTGAACAAATTCTATTGTCTGTAACTTGAATGACTGTTAAGGTGAGAGCTCCTGTATTCTGTTAGTCACAGCTATGCTTCTGTCAGTCTGTTTTTCAGCAAAAAAGCAATGGAAAAAAAACATGACTTCTGAAAATCACAAGGTTTAGAATAACATTGGAGCTGCAGGTAGAAAGAGGAAAGGTGATCAGACTGCAGTGATCCATTGAGAAGTTTAATTTTAATTTTATGTGAGTGGTTTCATATACTGAGGAAGTGGTGGCCAGATTTAATGCACCAAGAAGTCCCTTTTAGCTGTAACTTCTTAAGGCAAGGAGCTATTCATCCACTCAAGCTCAAGAATGTTCTCCTATCATCAACAAATATAATCCTGGAACCTTACCAAGGACGCCTAACAAGCAAGGCAAAAAGGCACAAGTAATATACCCATATGTAATAAGCAGGTCTTACTTCAAGGAAGAGAATAAATGAAATGCTGCACTTCAGAGAACATTACCATGCTCTGATGAGGTTTATGGAAATTCATGGCTGAACTTGACAAAAGGTATTACATAAGGAGAGTTGTTTGTCACAAAATCATTTTCTCATCTCAATTCTTATAATTTTAGTAACAAAAAAAAAAAAAGCGTGATCAAAAAAGTGGTACTCCATAGTCTTTCAGAGCCATACAACAACACTTTTAAGTTTCAGAAAACTCACTTATTTTCACAGATGTGGAAGAGTCCTGTGAGCAGGACTCAGACAACCCCACAACACCCTTTCTAGTTGTCCATTTCTGCTGCTTGTGTTTGCCAGGCTAAAGAAAGCTATAAAAATGATGGGTGTGGTGTGAAAAGCTTAATCTGTGATGAAAAGCAAATAGCCATTTTCAATACAACAGCAATGTTTTATCACTTTTACAGCTGTCTGGGATTTAATATTAAAATCCGTTAAACCTGGTGAGAGGAATACCATCTGTATGCGACTACAGCTCAACAGGGAAACAATATAAGGAGTTTGAGCCAAAGATTGTTATAAAGCACCATACTCAGCTAATCTGATGTGATACTTACTGAACGATCTATTCCAACATTACCTAACTTCTAAGAATCGTTATTTTACCTGTATAATTGCTTATTGTTTTTTGGGTGTGGGGGGTTGGAAGTGGGGGAGAAAAATGTAAAAAGAAACAACTGGGCATGCCAGATTCTGAGACAAAGTAAATTGGAAGAGATGCACTGAAATCAATGAAATTATGTTGATTTTGTCCACCTATCTTTTAAACAGGCCAGCAGAAGAAATGTGAAATTGAATATTAGATTCCTTGACCTTGTCATGATCTCACAGTATAACCATGCTTTTGGCACTGCTATAAGCATATTCCAGGCTTGGAATGTACAGGATAACTTAAACTTCCTTTTCATTATGTACTTGGAGAACAAAATATTGTATTGTTATTGATATTTCTTTTGTTTTCTTGGTTTTTTTCAGGTTAGGTTTCCCCATGATGATTGTGTCCTGTACCATCGGGATGTGCTATCTTCTTGTTGCTCATGTTGTAGTAGGTTGGAACTCATAATAATTTATACTTTCAAGACTCAAAAAAAGCTTTCTGTTTCATTTAGTTTGTATGTCAGAATACAAAGAAGATACATAAAAGGAAAAAGGTGGTAAAAACCAACGTACCAACCAACCAAAATAAAACCCACGAGTGGTATAAATCAAGATGACTGTCTTGTCAGGTTTGGTCATTCTTCTGTTCTGTGAACAATTTGCAGGACTAGACATTCAAAACTGAAAGAATACTTATATTTAATTGTGAAAAAAGTTACTGTGCGGATGAAAGGGCACCATCACCAGTGAATATGTTGTGCCTAAAAGTTTGTATTGACACAATCTGAGTAGTCACAGATGAAAAACTCATTCATAATAGCAGATGTTCATTAATTTCTTTTTAGGTCTTCATTTGTCTTTGTCAATGTATTTAGCTATTTGTATTAAAGTAACTAATATTCAAGTTGTAATAGACAGTTAAGCAGACAGTCTGTGCACTATGGAGGATGTATCATTATCTATGTTTAAAAATAAACACAGCTCCTGAAAATGTGCTGTGGAAGGAATTATTATTTTGGATATGAAATTACATTCTATGGAGGCTTTGTTTTTCATTCTAAAGCTCCTCATCAGTGTTAAACTGTTTTATTTTTTTTTTTTCTTAAAATAAGCAAATGCCCCTCACCTTACCAAAGTAGAGACATAAAGTGTGATAAAGCACCAGACATTTTCCATTTAAGTCACTTCTGTGATGGAGTATTCTAAGTCTTTAAATAGGTTAATACACTATATGGAAGAATGAGATCATACTTTGGCTTTGGTTTCCTTCTCTCTGATAATAATGTGTTAAACTATATATATTGTTTTGTATAATTGAATGCCAGAACAGGTCAAATTTCTCATTATGAATATTAAGTCCTGTGAGGGATTCAAGATTTCAGTCTGCAGCTTCCAGTACCTTTGTGGGTTTGGCCTAAATTAGAGGCAGTTCTGATTTATCTTGAGTAGGAGAAATTGGCAACCTGGTGGGTGCAACCCAAGCGAACAGAGCTGAACTACAAGATGCCAGTAGAAATGAGCAAATACAGCTTTTACCTGCACTTAGTCTTTGACATAGCCTGGTAAGTGAGAGAGAAACAATCTCTCTCCTACAGAGGGTATGAAGTTAATCAGATATCTCATTTTACTCATACCTAGGTTGTATCCTTTACCTACATGTTTTAAGCCTGCAATATCATGTTAAGTGGGTGACTGGAATAAGTCACAGCACTCATTCAAAGAAATGCTGGCTCCCACCCCTCCTGGTAGATTCAGCAGTGGTAGAGGGACCATGTGGAGCAGAAGGAGAAAAGCTTTTTCCATTGCTCCCAAACCTTTCACTGAGACTTCCAGCCCCATCCACACTTGAGCACCCTGGGGTGAAGTCTGCTCTGGCTGGGCTGTTGAGAAACCTTGAGGCTGCTCTAATAGTGAATAGCTGTAGATCACAAGGTCTGTAAAAAGATCAGCATAACCTCTGTTTTGTTTTATATGTTAAAGAAACAACAACAACAAAAAACACCAACAAAAACTCTCCCAACCCCCTGAAAAACAAACACTCTTAACCAGAGAAAAAGAAACAAAATTGTGAAGTGTCTGAATCAAAGTGAAATAAAAACAAATAAAAGACCCTAAAACTCACTCCTTCAGACAACTTGAAATTGAATTTGGCCTGTCTCCTTCTCGGTATGGATGTTGTTGTTGTTATTATTTTTGTAAAAGCAGTTTACTCTGCAGTTACTGGAATTCTGCTGCAATTAAATAAACATTTATGCTAATCAGCTTAACGTTGATCCCTGGTTAAAAATAATCACAAAAAATTTATAGCTGTCACCATTTCTCACATTGGAACAATCTTGGTGCAGCCACTGGTTATGCACGATCTGCTGTATTAAGCCTCAGAGAATGCAAGATCGGGACTCAGTTGAAACAATTTGTTCTTGTCTGTTATTATTACTATTTTTTTTTCCCTGCTCACCAGTTTTAAGGATTTATTTGTTTTTCTATTCCATTAAAACACTGTCAGTACATACGAGTATCAAAATGAGACTGTGGCCGGCCCCACAACACAACTTACAAATTCTTGATTGCTTTTTTTTTTTTTTTAAGAGTAAAAAAAACAAAACAAAACAAAAACCCTAATCCTGCTCCAACTCATGCTAATAATGCAATCACACTAGCTGACATGAAAATATATGTCTGCATTTACAGTTTGCTGGAAGGAGGAAGATGGAATTGCGGCAATTCATTTCCATTCACTCATCTTAGCAAATGTTCTGGAACACTTCAGTGCAGGGGAGATCTTGCTCACTTCAGAAGTGAAACATCAACAAAACTTGAATAAGATTTTATTTCTCTTACGTTACTTGTCCTGTGAAGAGAAGGGAAGCAGGGTACATGGAGTACAAAATCATAATGCTCATGCTTTTAGGTTAAATTCATTCTGCTTCTAGGAATTTTTTGTTATGGTATAATGTTTTCATGAGGATTTCCTCAAGATAAACTGGCTTTCCTTCCTGAAACATCCTTTCTGCTTCGTTTGCACAGGAAAGAGCTCACTGAGAGCTCATATGACAATGCAAATGGTAAAAAGAAGATAAAATTGTTTGTTTGCACAAGCCTTTATGTAAGTGTAATCTAATCGTCAATAACCAGAGAAATAACAGTGATAAACATGTTTTTGTGGCCTCTTGCTGTTGTTTCTCACATTAGTAGACAATCTGCTAAAATGAAAATTACCCAGGTACTTCAGATCATTTCAGGGTAATGAAGTATATTATTCATTGACTTCCATTATAGTTATCAATGCAATCTGCACATCAGAAGGGCACAAGTTACAGTGACTATATTCGTGAAGAAACTAGTGCATAGGATCCCATAGAAATGGAGTGAATTTGAAGAGTGGGCGGAATTAATTTTTGACGTGGAATTCTCTCTAAAATGTTGAAAAAAATATTAAGTGATAAATTAAGTCAAAGTGTATCATCTTTAGCAGCTTTGGTGTTTATCTCAGAAGACTGTCATTGTCATTGACATCCTTTTAGGCTATTCACAGGTTTTTGTTGTAAACAGTAGAGTAAATATAAATGTATGCCTATTCTAAGATGCATTTATGTGTTCTGAATGGTGTAAAATGCAGTAAGATAGATAGAAATATAGGAATTATATCACTGCAGGGCAAGGTAAACAAAGACTACTCAAAGAAACCATCTCATCTTAAGTAGGGCAGTCACTGGAAGCAAGAAAAGAAACAGGGATATATTAGACCTTCACCAAATGGTGACCTTATCTAAAAAACCATAGCATAGCAATAGCCCAAGGTCTTCCCAGCCCAGCACCTATCTCTGATGGTGGCACACAGTGGATGCCTGTGAAGAACCTAGGAGTGGGGCAAACATAAAATGCTTTTTCCCCCAAATATTTTCCCAGATTTCAGAGATTTATGTGATTCAGAGATTTATTGCATGAGGAGTAGCATCTCTGTACTGAATTTTACCTGCTGAATTGTCCTTCCACAAACCTAGTCAGCCCCTAGCTGAACCTGTGTAAACTCAACATCTGTCTCAAGGAGTTTCACAGATAAGCTGTACACTGTGGGAAAAAAAAAAAAAATAATCCAGTTGTTTGGTTTGAATTTACCCTGTGCTAATTTCATTTCTGTGGCACTTCTCGCCCAGTACTTTTCCTAAGCCTTTTGTTTAGGAAGGGATAATGAATAGTCATCCCCTGCTTCCTTTTTCTAAATCATGATTTTATAGGCCAATTTCCAGTCTGGAGATCACAGTCTGTTTGCTCATTTCTGATGTGGAAGTGCTCTCCTACCTTTATTCATCACTTTTTGCACGTTCTGAAATTTCACCATAGCCTATCTGAGTCAAAAGAATCAGACATAAACAAAGGCAAGACACAAATGCCCCCCAATTTTTTCTGCTTTTTTATTCTTTTCCTAATAATTGTTGAGATCTGATTCAATTATTGAATTCTTGCTGGCAAATAAACTGGGAGGTTTTTCTATACATTTTTATAGAAGAGCCTCTTGAAATTACAAGGTACATTTCCTGAGTGATAATTACTACCTTGCATTGTTTAATGTGTAAAGTTAGGATTATTTTATTCCTGCTCTTACGTTACTTTTCAGCTGTCCAGGGTGAAGGTCAGCCATTTTTTTTTTTCCCTAGCTACTTGCTCTTGTAAAGTTTTTATTTAATTCTCTACTGGTAAGCACCATGTTTGCTACTTTTTACCTCAGAAGCTGGGCCATTTACAAGTATGTGGAACTATCACCAGACAGACCAACTCCCTCTAGAGTGGCATTCATGGATCATACTCCTTATTCTTAGCTTAATTTCCTTAAGAGCTGTTGGACTGGATGTATCTACCCTTTGTCTTGATTGTAGATCAGATCAAATCAAAATTTGTTTTAAAAATGGAAATATTTTCCCATTCTACAGAGTGAGCTTTGGGACTATCTTGCTACTGGATATTGCTGAGGTATGACTGAAAAATACCTCTCATTTATATGACGGTATTTGAATTAAACTGTTGGATTTAGGGGAAAAAAAAAAAAAAAAAAAAAAAAAAAAAGCATTTGTCCTGGGAAATATATGACTTATTCCTCAGGGAACTCTAGTACATATCTGTAAAAGGAGGCTTGCCTTGTTGAATGGGTTGTTCGACAACTGTTCAGAAAAGCTTATTTTAGACCATTCTAAAACTTCTTGTACTATATCTTGGTTAACACCAAGTCTAGTTCATGACAGAAATTCTAGTTTTCTTAACAAAAGTTAAAATAAAGGGTGTCATTTCTAAGAAAACAATTTTTAAATGTAGAGTTGGAAATAAAAATTGTGTGACCACCCAGAAAAAAAGAAGGTCTTATTTGAGAAATCAGATGCTATTTGCAAATATTTGTGCAAATTGCACTGCAGACTTCATTCAGTGAATCAGAATAATTTTATATGTAATATATAGGAATAGGCACAGAAATACAATGCTTCTCTTTCCTGCTGTGCTTTAGCTTTCTGTGTAACTTTTCATAGTCAACCGATTTGTTTATGTATCTGTTTCTTGATTTTACCCAACTTTCTGAAGTGCTTTAAAAATTTACGTTTTTTTGTACAGATGCTCTGGGCTTTGAAGGAGAAAAATACAAAAAATACTGTTGATCAAATAGCAGAGAATTAGAGTTATCTTCAAACATCATCTATTATTTTAAAGACACTAATAAAAAATATGGAAACATTTCAGCTTAACAGCTATCAGATGGTTACTCCCTACATTAACCCCCATAAAAAAATATTCATAGGTTCCAAATGGCAGAAAATCAGTGGCACCTGAAATAGACACAAAATAAAAATGCTAAGCATGAGCTTCCATGTTTGCTGTAATGGGATGCTAAGAAAATAGTTGGGAACAAAGCCAGAAAATATAATGAAATAGCTGAAGCATTAAATTAATACTTCTGAAGTGAATTTACAATAGGAAATTCTAGCAATTCAGAATAAGTGCTAA